TCCTGCCTTGCCAGGGTTAATTTGAGAAAGGAAGGTATTGGGAATCGTGTTGAAGGGAAGAAAGAATCTAGACCATATCCTGCTACTAATGACATTGGGGATATAATGAAAGAGCTAAGTTGAACTAAGTTGATTTAACATCAGTCAAGTCCTAATTAGCTTGCTTGAGATTGCCCACTTCTGAATGTGATCATCACTATAGAGGACTCTTTGGTCAGCTGCAGACCATTGTCATCAACTGCTGTTTGAGTGATCCACTGAGTGTGCATACTGCTTATTTTGTGCTTTTGACACTCTTAGTTCTTCAAGCCTCAGAAACTGCTGGACCTAGTAGTTTCTTCCTTTCACACTCAGTTTGCCCTGTAATAGCTGAAGAGGACTTGTTTATTTCCAAGGGAACCTGCAGCAGAGTATCCTACTAGTCTGAGAATTCTTCATGAATGCTTTAGTTGCAAGCTAGACACATGAGATAGAATAACAGTGCCCAAAATAGTATCATCTTGCATTTTCATGCATTGACATTAGCAAGGATTACGAGGAAATAAATAATAAACACGTGGTAATATCAAATTTTTACTTTCTTTTTGAGACAGATTGGGTTTATAACTGTTGAACAGAATGAGATTAGGGATATATGGTATGTGGTGTTGTACATATCATGCGTCATAGTGAAGCTTTACAAATAGAGCAGACTGAGTGACAGACTAGGTTGTATTTATTCAGGCTCCAAGGGAGGGGTGTCACAGTTCAGTGATTTCCCATGTGGCAAAAATGAACATAAAGAAATAAAACCTCAGGGAAAGAGATATTATCTATTTATTTGTTTGATTTTTAAAAAAATGTTTCATAGACAAGGTCTCTTCAAGCATTGTGAATGACAATGTAATAAAATAGTATCCACAAAGAATTAAAACCTGGCACAGATAAAAAGTGCAACACCTATATATACATGAACAAAATACAGCACAAAGCTAAAACAACCAACAGGAACAGGTATTTAAACCAAACCACAGCGTGTAAATTCAGATCTTTAAAGAATCGTGGAGAAAAGGTAGGCTTTCCTAGGGGAAAGCTAAGCTCTTTGTGTTGGATTCCTTTCTGCACCTAATAGGGAGCCTTAAGAAAATGGCATTTTTCACCTGCAACCTGAAGAGGCAGCTGTTCTATCATTCCATTCTTCTGTATGTATAGTTTAGGCATGGGGTTGGATCCTGGAGACTACATAGCCCATTTTCTCCTCATTTTTTCATACTAATTTTCCTTCACAAAGTGTGCCTTGACTGAACTTGAACTCCTCTTTGAATGCTCCCTAATTCATAAAGCAGGATTTGGTATGAGAGATTTTTTAAAGGGAATGGTCTCTGTTTCAACAGATAGTCAGTCAGTCAATTGGGGGATGCACACAAATTAATAATTTCCTTCCGTTTGAAGCACAGCATCCCCAGATTGCTTCTGGAAAAGTTTGGATATTCTGTAGGGACTGCTTCTGAAAAGGAAACTTTAGAGCAAATTGGAAAAAGAGATCAAGATACTTTCTTTATGCTAATAGATGACTTCTGATACAAAAAACTTTCTGAGAATTTCCAGTGATTGTTAAACAATTTTATTTTGAAAGACTGAGGTTGTGATTAGAAACTCAAAAAGGCTGTTTCCTCAAATTGAAGGCAATGAGCACTCTTTTTGGCAATAGCTGGCATTATAATTATAACTGAAAACTGTTATCCCTTTACTGAGTGGGACAACTAACAATATGTGGCAGTTACCACATTTTCCCAGTAGCAGACTTTAGGTCAGTAGCAAATGTTGCCTTTTGAACAAGATCCTTGAGTGGATGTTGGGCATCAGCACCAGACACTCTAGGTTTTGGCATGGAAACAGCTTTGGTTGCCTGTATAATGACCTCAGGCTGAGAGAGGGAAGAAAGAGAAGTACAGCCCTGTTGATACTCCTGAATCCTTCAGCCACTTTTGATACCATCAGCCATGGTATCCTTCTGGGGCAACTGTCTGAGTTGGGAATGGGGGCACTGCAATACACTGGTTCAGCTCCTACTTGGAGGCTATCACCAGAAGGTGGTGCTTGGGGAATATTGCTTGGCCCTATGGAGTTCCTTAGGGGTCACTCTTGTCCCTCATGCTATTTAACATCTACATAAAACTGCTGAGTGGGGTCATCTGAAGGTTTGGGGTGTGTTGCCATTAGTGTACTGATGACGCAAAGTTCTATTTCTTCTTTTCATCTTCAGCAAGTGAGACTGGATGTACTAAACCAGCACCTGGCTATAATAATGGACTGGGAGAGCATTAACAAACCTGAGCTTAATGCAGGCAAAGTGAGATGCTCTTACTGGGTGATTCTTCTGGCCAAATTTTTTTTTGGGGGGGGGAGCGGTGCTCAGCCTGTTCTGGATGATACTGCGCTTCCCCCTGAAGGAGCACATTGATATCTCAGGGATGCTCCTTGAGGCATCCATGTTGCTTGAAGTTCAAGTGGGCTCAGTGGCACTCACCCCTTCACCATCTAGGCCCAGCTACAGCCCTATCTGGACAGGAATAGCCTGGCTTCAGTAGTCTATGCCCTAGTAATCTCTAATGCAGAGTTCTACAATGTGCTCTATGTGGAGTTGCTCAGCTGATGGCAACAAGGAAGAGAGCCTTTTCTAAGGTAGCCCATAAATTATGGAACAAGGCCCAAGAGCCCCCGGGACTAAATTTATTATCTTTTCAATGGCAGGTTAAGGCTGTCTTCTTTGCTTAGGCGTTTACCAACTCCACCAATTCTGAGGCATTCACCAGTTGCACCCATATGGGGGTGACAGCTGTTTCTCTCCATGCCTAGTAGTATGGACTGGTTTTAGCTTTTTAATTGTAAAGATATTGTTTAAATATGGTTTTACTTTTTAATATAATTTTACAATGTTTTATTGTTTTATTTATATTGTATTTTATTGTGCACTCTCTGGAGAGCTTTGGCTATTAGGTGGTATAGAAAATAAAGATTTTATTTTACAAAGGCACCATATGGTGGAGATAAGGATCTGGTTTGTATGTTACAAGAAACCATAATAAGTGAATTTCCCCACAGAGTTTCTCCTTGCAATAGTGTCAGTAACCTTTACATATGTGAGCTGTGGCAGGGTGCCATAGGTAGTCTTTATAGATGAATCTGATAAGGGTGGGTTGTAGGGGTGGTTAACTAGCCTACCCAAACTGTTGCTCTGCTTCAGGGTTGTGGATGGCTCATTAGAGCTATCTTCCTGAGAAATTCAGCCATGGTTGCTTCTCATTATGTGTGAACTTTCTCAGTTTGTAGAATGACTCACCATGCAGGTTGCCATTGTATGAAGAAGTAGCTTTGCAAGCTACTGCTAAGAATGTCTGCCAGTGGCATCAAAATTTTCCTCATGACAGGAACAATCTAGATAGCTAGCCTAGGTCCAGTGCACAGTATTGTGTGTCATATGGAATAAACACTATGGAAGCTATTCTGACACCCGAATGACAACCATTACACAGAGACTCTCCCTGGTGCTCTAAAAATCACCATGTGTTATGCTAGCTAGTCTTCTTCATCACATGTTCAATATTCCACTACATGACTGCTTCTTAAATTGGTTTGTAAATGTATTAATTCAGAGGGGAAATTCCCTCTGTATTTTGATATTCAACTTTGCAAGAATGTGATTAACTTTCAGGTGTTATTGCTCATTTTAGTCTTGTATGTATTAATCTTAATTTCCCCCAAAACTTTGCACAGAATGTTAGTTATACTATATCCATTGACTTCTCAATTATTGAACCAGAAAAAGCTCTATGTAATCCTGAAACAAAAGCTCAGACTGACTAGATGTTAATCAGTCTTCTCATGGTTCCTGTTTCTCAAACTACCTAACAGTGCTGTGTTCCCATTGTTTTATTATGCACCTTCTGTGGCATTTTCTCCAGTGAGACAGCACTTAGTCCACAAAATAGTCTTTCAGACTGCCAGTTGAGGGACCCATTCATTTAGATGTGCAAGGCTCTTTCTGGGTGCTATAAAGAAGAAATGCAGTGGGGTATGCTTTCCACCACTGCCTGCCTACATGGTAAATGGGAAAAGATGCTTTGGGGAACACTGAGATTTTAGCATTCAGGGTTATAGTGACTAATGGATTGGCACTGCCTCCTCACCCATTCTAGGTTGAACTAAAGTATAATAAACCTAAGAATTAAAAAAATCAGTGTTTCAATTCAATGTTTTTTCATATTAGAAATATATCACAACAGTACTAAAATAGATATACGAGAATTGGAAGAACATAGAAAAAAGGAGCCCAGAAAAAAATTCAAATCTGCTAAGTTCACTGCACAGTGTATCTCATATAGGATGCTACATACTAATTTAACACATATTCCCTATAAGATCTTAGAATGCCTGAAAGATTATAATTCACTTCTTTGGTTTTTCATGTCCCAAAATATGATCTGAAGGTATTGTAGAAAATTTCTATTTTGAGGATGCATTTAAAAATGTTGGTGAAGGAACTGACAATGACAGCAGTTTGGAGAGATTACTCCAGGCATGCGTGCGTGCGTCTTCTAAAAGCAAGCACCATTTATGCAATGTGAATTGTAAGCCTCTTGTTTGAATTGTAAGCCTCTTAAATACAATTTTCATTGTTGCTGAATCATTTTCACCCTGGACTCAACAAAGGCAGTTGCATGTACTAAATATATGAAATCATATCTATGAAGAAAAAGAAATAAATTTGTGCCCTGTTGCGTTTATAAGTGGGCAATGTGCATACCAGTTTAATGGTTCAAAACTTTTATATAATATTTTAAATGTACATTGTTTTTAGGCTCTAAAAGCAGTGTTGAGTAAACTTCTCTTAATGCCACATTGAGATAACACATTTCTGATGCTTTGTATTTGGTAAACAAATAAGGTTCTGCTTCTTTTGTTGACATACAGTTGTAACATAGTTTTTAATGAACCAATCTTTATTGTTTCCCCAACAGCACAGCCCATTCTTTGCTGAACAACTAACAGCGTTTCAGGTATGGCTAACGATGGGAGTAGAAAACCGCAATCCACCGGAACAGCTTCCCATTGTACTGCAGGTGAGTTGTCTTGGCAAACATTAAGCCTGCTAGCATACCCAAGGCTGCTGAAACATGTGGACAAGCTAGCCAGCTGTAAACTTCAGCTGTGTGTGTATTTGTGGGTGTGCCTTTCCCTGACTGCTTTGCTCCCTGCCAGATGGTGTTTGAGTAAATAAATTATGTGGACTGCATTCAAGACTAATTGGAGTTGATTGTTTGCTAGGCCTCTGTTGTTAAAGACTCATTATACACCTGAACAGTCCTGCAGGCCCATCCCCAAATTCTCCTCCATTGAGCTTAAATTGAGGTGGTAACCTATTAACCAGTGCTGCAGAATTTAAGTCCTTTCCCTGTTTATTTTATCAATGTATCAGCAAAGCTATTATGTAGAGCAGCTAGTCTTGGTACATGTCATCCTCTCTTACCATTCACAATTTATAGGCTCCCAGTAACAATAAGGACTTATCTGTCTCTTGTGAAAAATGTGTTTTAGCTTGCTGGGGTTAAATGCCTGAATCTCTTTAAAGAATTTTAGAAGAGTCAGGGGACTGACGAACTAAAAAATGTCCCAAATGCCACATCCCATGGATAAATAACTTTCCGATTCAGTGTCCAGGCCAAATGTCATTTGGCAGGGCTATAAAGCAGCCATCTATTTTTGCTCAACCTTGCCTGTGTTGTGGTGAGGTTGGGAATTTGGAGGAAATTTTTTTTCTCTCTTTCTCTCATTTAAAGGCTTTTTACAAGGAATAAGAGTCATGCAAATCAAATAAATGGTGCAGGTAATTTAGATGTTAAAAACCCTACATAACCAAAATCTATAAGTTCTCAATTAGATATATCATTATTTTCCTTTACAGTTAACATTTATTAAATGACCATAATCTACCCTGAAATTGATTTATACTGGTCTATTCTCCTGTGCAGAAAAAATAGCGCTTTCATTATAAAAATGCAAATTCTACAGTTAGGGCAACACATTTATTAGAACCATCAACATCACAGAATTGTAAACAAGTTTTCAAATTCTCCAAAACTCCTCATTGTGAAAGATCTTAAGCAAAACAGGGAGGGAAAGTGAAAAAGCTGGTAGTATAGCTGCTCCTCAATCCTGCAGTTTATAACTGAAGCTGGAGTATGACCAGAAATGGATGTTCCCTCATTTTTGAGATTTTAAAATATAGCAATTAATCTGTTCTGTCTTGAGACCTAATCAAAATATGCATGTACCTTGGGTGTGTTATGCAAAAGGCAGCAAAAATACTTCTCCTCAAGTTAAATAACCAAGACTACCATCAGAGTAAGGCGATCCCTTCATTTATTGCAATAGACGGGGAGAGCCCGCTCTATCAGAATCTCTCCAAAGCACAGACACACAAATCATTTCCTTTTGTACCCTAACTCGGCCACCATAGCCCTCCCCAATTCCCTCATTGGATGAGGTGCTAAGGGGGTACAGTCTTTCAGTCTGCCTACTTCATATCTCCCATCTCATCCCACTACATACATCACATGTGCATTATAATTAGCCCATTGTCCAGTCGAGGTGTGTGAGATAATATTCATCAACCTATTATGCCTACGTGTTCATAACTACAAGTTCACTAGTTTGCTCCTTTCTGGCTTCACCTTGCCCTGCGATCCCCTGTCTCATAAAACTACTGGGAGTATGAGATAGAAGGTAGCCTTCTTTCTTCAACCCAATTTTCTTTTTCTCCCTTCCACATTCCTTCAGACAGGCTTCATGGCTTGGTTGTTTGCCTCACTGTTTCTCAATCACTGAGTTACTTCCTTCAGGTGGGAGGGAACAAAAACAGCAAAAATAGTACTTTATTATAGCATCCCATAACTTTGAGAACTACACAGCTGTATTTGGAATCTTACCGCTTTCCCAATAATGTGCAGTTGCAATTCTGACTGAAATAAAAATAATTATTTTCTACAATTCTTGAGCACACTCAGGGCATAATCCTATAGGTTGTCCCATTGATGATTGTGGGCCCCCAAAGTCATGGGCTTGTAATCATTCTACACAGGGCAGGAGGAGCTAGTTGTTTTCCGGATGAGAGGAATGGGATTGCATTCATTTCCCTATTCCAGGTCATCCACTTTCCTTTCTTGGAAATAGGAAAGGAATTTCATTCTCACTAAGATCTGCTATCTTGCATCATGACTAACGGTATCATCAATCTTTGTATATCTGACTCTTCATTTTGTAGAAGTTCTGAAGCCTGGGTGATTACTGAGGTGGCGGGGGGGGGGGGGGATAGATGGGCAGTTTATCTCTGACAAAGCAATTAGGACAGGCAGATTTCTTATCTGTCTTCAAATCTGAGGGCTGCACTGTTAATTAATTTTGCAACAATATTTAAGCTAACCACCTGCTTCCCTATTGCTTCATGGAGAGAAGTGGCTGCGCCAGTGCAAAAGTCAGGATTTGTTAGGTCAACTGAGTTCGCATTGATTCATTAAATATGAAGCATGATCTGATCAATTAAGTTTGTCAAAGAGTATAGATGGTTTAGTTCCCCGAAGTGCCTATATGTGTAGTGCATCTAAATCTAAACAAATGACCTAGAATAAAGATCACACGTTCCCCATTTTTCTTTCTCTCCCCTACCTCTCTCTTTCTCTGTACCTGGAGAAAAAGCACTTATGTGCCTTCGGCATAATGCCAGGCATTAATGCCACTTTGTCCTGACCTAGTCAAAGCAAAACAATCCTTTTTAAAATGGCCTTTTATTGACTGTTTTGTTTTGTTTTTTTAAAATGCATTCCCTTTAGAATCCCTCTTCTCTTGGGAAAGTCCCGACAGAAACAGATTAGCAATGCAGAGAGTAGCAGCAGAGAGGTGGGGGTAGAGCCAGTAATTTAACAGGAGAGGAATGTTGCCCACTCTAGAACATGCCTGAGCAGTAGGTTGTTAATCCTTGATGAGACATTTGCCTTCCAGACCATATCCAGCACAGCTCAATAGGATTAGCAGTTGCCCTGTGGAGGTGAAACCTAATTTCAGATGCAAAAGAAGGTTTTATTTTATCCACTGCTGCCTTTTAATAATGGTGCTGGCTGCCATTTGACCTGTGGTATCTTGTAATTTTAATATAAAGCCTATATGAATGTGTCTGTTTTTGCTTTGAGTTGGAGGTTTGGCAGTTGCACATGCACAGTATGTACAAACAACTTGAATTTACTGCCATTCTTCTCTGCGATCTTTGTGATCTGTGCCAGTGTGGAGCCTGTAACTGGGAAGATTTAACAGCTAGGAGTGTTTTGGCAGGAACTCCTTCCTGACCCCAGCATCCATATAAAAGGGAGGGGCTCCAGCCATTCCCCTCAGTTCTTCTTTGACTGCTTTTGGTGTCTCAGTAAGCTCTTTTCTGTTCTCTCTCCTCAGAGCGTTTCTCCAACATTTTCTAATTTTCCCTCGACATTCCTAAGAGTCTGTTTTCTTGTTCCCTTTTGTTGATTTTCTCCTCTAACCGTTTGTTACCTTCCTTCCAACACCCTGCCGCCCCCCAAAAAAAACAAGAAATCTTTGTCTTCTTTGGCTATCTCCATTGCCAACTTGCGTTTTTTTCTCTACTTGTCTTTCTGCCTTTTCCCCCAATGGCATTGAAGGCTCCCTTCAATAAATGTGTCTGTTGCAAAGCCGGGATGCCCCCAAATCACAGGCTTTCTTTGTGCCTCACTGAGGGGCGTGTCTTGGATCAATGCCCTCATTGCCAGACTTTCCTTAAACAGGCATGTAAGCAAAGGGCCCATCGTCTCCATGCAGAGTTGTGGAATAAGGCCCTTCACACAATCAAAACCTTGGGCTTGCCTAAAACTTCTCACCATTCAACCCCAGCCTCTCTCCACTCAGGGAGATCCATGCCATCTGTCACAGCCACCGTTTCCTCAGCAACTCTCTTTGTTGCTCTTCCACCACCCCCTACTCCAGACAAAATGGTGAAGCATCAAAAGGCCAAAAGGAAAGTGAACACCCATTTCAACTATGGGTGAGGGGGGTTTGAAAAAGATGAAGCTGTTTGCCCATTCAGGCTTTGTGATATCATTGTGTAGCCAAATGTGATTGGCTAGGTGGCATCAGGAAGCTTATTGATCATGAGGCATTTCCCTTATCCTCATTTAGACCTGAGATTGGCTGTGTGATTTCATGTTCACACAGTCCATGAAAGCCATAATTGGCTGGAGTTACTTAAGTTGCTTCTTAGTGGTTTACTTGCTTTTTTAACGATGCCAGAGCTATGAGAAATTATACCAACAAAGCAGCTGCAAAAAGAGAATAAACCTCCCAAAGGACTTTGGCTATGGGACAGTATAGAAATGAAATGAATTAGAATAAGAGAGCACCAAAATTTGATCAAAGGGGTAGCATTAGAAATTTCTCCCCAGATTCCTCTTTCACCCCCCAACATTTTCATGGATGACAGCTCAGTTTAGCCCCAGTCTTGAGGCACTTTCCAAGTGTATCCAAACTGCTTAAGACGAACTGTACCGATGCACTTTTGTGGCATTGCAGAAAAAAGTGGGGCTAGCTTCTGTTATTATTTATGTTACACATAAACCTGAAATGTGCAAATAATTACTCAGTTAAGTAAGAACCATCCTTATTATAAATGAAGACAGTGATTATTTTTAATCTTGCCTCTCTTGCTGCTTCCAGTCCAGCTTTGTACAGTGTTTTTATTCCAGGTCAGGCTTCCCATCTGTTCCTTGAAGGCCATATGTATAAGAGACAAAGGCAGATTTCTGATGTCTTGCCAGTTTACTGATCCCACTAGATACACATTGCCATAGCGTGATGTACATAGTCAATATGCATGCTCTTTTCAATTTGCTTTTGAATATATCTCTGTATTACACATGCTCAGATAAATTTTATATCAAAATTTCAGAACAATAGGATCTCATATATGTATATCACCTTGAGCCTAGAATTTTTTCTCTTCCTACCGCACCATGTTCTTTATTTCTAAAATTCCTGATTAGATTTGCTGCATTTCCTTCTATACTCCCCATACACTGTTCTTGATCCTTCTCAAACTGGTTTTCACATACTCTGCTCTACAAAAAATTTTCTTAGTGGAATTTCCAATGTCCTTTGTCTGGTCAAGTTGTCTTAGTCTAGCTTCATTTCTCCTTTTCAGTATCTGAAAATTCATCATGTATTTCTTCTTTGTGCCTCTAACTGAAATTCTTGATCTTCTCTGATTATCTCCGCTAGACTACAGCTTGGTCCAGATGATTATTGTAGGCAGGTTGGCATATTGTGCAAATAGGTCATGCTTCACCAAGCAGGCTCTTGGACTATTCTAGAGTTGTTGTCACCCACAGTAGCACATAACTGGCTTATGAAGTTCATTGCAAAAAGCTTAGATGGGTTTTTCAAAGGCACTGTACAAATAATAGAGAGTGCAGGCTACTAGTAATGGTGGCCAAAAAACCAAACTACTCAGTTTCACAAGTATACTAACCAGGGGCTGCTTGCATGCAGCCCCTGGTTCTCTGGGTAACTGTGATTATAGGCAAGTGTTTAATTCAATGGAATTTTCACATAATCCAGAATATTCCTTTTTGTTATATTTTGCTTCCGCCTGACCACTGCCAGCCTCCTTTAGTGCCACCCTTATTTTCAGGGCATTACTACCTTCCCCTTACTTGCTTCTTCACAGCTACATGGATTTCCCTTTCCAATATCTCTGCTGTTTATTGGTTGGTCCCCAATATCATTCTTTGTGCTAGGATGAAGCCACTACTGTTCTGTGCAGCACCCATTACACAGGTGCTAAGTAAATGTTATATCTTAACAGTGGTTTTCAACACCTTCTTATTTCAGTTTCCTGTGCCTATTTTCTAAGATACCAGTTTACTATCTCATGTTAACTTGCACTGTAGTCTAGAACAGGAGCAATCAGCAAGGGTTGTTGAATAAATCCAATCTCTTTTGGCCTATATCCACATGGTAGCCTATTAAGGAATATTGAATCATTTTGTTCTTTAATGCCTTTTAAATTAAATTAAATTTTATATTATATTCCTAAGCTTGCAAATTTAAGAGATTAGTATGAGGTGGGATTCAGAATTTCAGGGAACTTGAAGGGAAATATTAAACAATGTGAAAAGCATTATAGTGTAAACAAGGATAGCAAACCAAATGTATGATCCATGCCTGAAATCAAACATTGCAGTTCAAAACCATAATTCTGTTTAGACAATGAAGAGAGGCAGGACACACAGTCTGATAAGATTTCATACCCAGCTAAATTTAAATCTGAAGAATACCAGTTAATTAGCATAGTTAGACATGGTTGTAATGAGTTTGTATTAAATTACTAATGTGTTGCTTCCTCCTGCACTCCTTTCACTCTAACCTCTTAGCATCCATGAAAGAGAAGTCTGATTATTGTGTCTGCCCTTTTCAATAGCTTCTTGCTGTTCATTATATCTTGGACTAGAGATTTAATTCTCACTTCATTCTTTCCCTTTCTCTCTCCTTCACTCACACACCATCAAACCTCCAACTTTTTGCCCTAGTTCATCCAAACAGGCACCATTATTCACAATATCCCTGCAGCTGAGTAGAATGATATCGGGGACCATTCCCTTCTGATCAGAAATAGTAGAAAATAATTGTAATTTATTTTTTTTACTCTCAAGATGTATAGACCTAACCTGAGACTCTGAGGAGTACAAATGTAGTTTATAGAACTCCCTGATCCTGTGAGTTCATCTGCAGTGTCTGAAGGGCACCTGCACCATCAATTTATGGCAGGTGGTGTTTCACAGATGAGTTAGCAATATATGGTGGTGGCAGCTAATCAGCCAGCTGCTTGTTTTCAAACTACTAAGCTCTCCCACCTCTGAGCACCAGCCGCTCCTGCTTTCCCCCAGAGGCAGTGCTGATGTTGGTGCTAGACTGAATGGGAGAGACAGCATGACCTAGCTTTGTTGTTAACATGGCTGAAAAAAATAGGATCATCCATTTGCCTTCTGTAAAAGCAGTTGAATTGCACCAGCAAATGTGGGGTCAAAAGAGTAATTTAGGACTTTGGGGCCCAGACTCCCACTTCTGTCTTGCATTCAGCATGTCGCCTTGAGCAAGACACTGCCCTCCAGCACTATGCTTGTAATACTGGCTAGTTGAAACTTGTGGAAGGCTTTCAGCAAGGCATAAGGGAACAGCATGTTCTCATTTTTGGTTCCTCAGTATGTGAGAATGAGGATGAGAAAGAGGAGGCTAGGTAGTCAGTCATATTTCTATCTGTGCTGTATTTTCTAGAATGTCTTCTGAATGCTTAATCATTAAAATGCATATCATGTGTGATACTTGTAGTATAGGGCTTGAGGTATCAGCTCTGTGGTACAGTTGCGGTTGGATTTTGTATAGGACCGGTAAACCTCTGAAACTGAAATGCTGATTCCCAAACAGCCTTTTCTAAGCCTGTCTTGTTATGTGTCCTCCAAAGTTTCAGTGGTCTGTGTTCTTTCCAGCACTACCTATTCTTTCATCTATTATTTCCAGGTGCTGTTGAGTCAAGTACATCGGCTGCGAGCGCTTGATTTACTGGGACGATTTTTGGACCTGGGTCCCTGGGCAGTTAGCTTGGTGGGTATATTTTACTGAAGGGATTGGATTCACTCCTTTTATAATGCAGCCTTCAGTGGTTGTTGAATTGGATTCTGGTTCAAAAAAATAGGAAGAAGAGACAGAAACCAGCATACCCAGAGATAAATCAAGCAGTCATTGAGAAGCATAATTTCAGGCTCTGTGGGAAAATTTAGTGAACAAGCTGATATGGGAGGGACAGGCAGAACATTATTAGTCTGATCATATGGTACCAGATTAAGAGAATAGACCAAGTGAGACCTGTCCAACAGTCCAGATGATCTGCCCTCAAGCAGCATGATTCACCTTGATGATGGGATTAGCCCTTTTCAGGATGAAAGGGAGGAGAGGTCTTCTGTTTGGAATCAACTTCTTATCATTAAGCCCTGTTTCCTTAATGGCCAGTAGTCTAACTTCGCTTGTTTGCTGTTGCTTTCTGCAATATTCTTCTTTTATATCACAAAGTCTAGTTAGTCAGCTTTAACAAAAGACGTTTTGAAAGAAAGCTTCTGTTGTTGCTTGGAATGAGGGGTAAAAGAGCCCATGAACAATTATGGCCATCTCTTTAGAAGAGAAATGTTTTACCTTTTTAAAAAAAATGCAATCCGCTTTTGTGAGTGATGAACTTGTTCTTATAGGGTATGGAAAATAATATCCCAAGAATTTGCAGAAATGGCTACCCTCTGACAGCAACTGGATGACCCTAAGGTCAACATAAATCAGACTACCAGAGTTCAGTAGAGTCTAGAAGTTGATGAGATTCCTTTTTATATGTAGCACTCATTAACTGAAGACAGCAATCTCCATCCTTGTTTGGCCTTTCCAATTCCATCTGAGGCTAGATATAGTGATAATAAGAGAGGTGATGTGAATTCTCAGACAGCTTCTTGTAGGCATGCTGGATTTATTGAGCAAGCTGCCTGAATAAAATGAGAATAAAAATTAGATGATATCCCAGCTGTTGTAAATTTTACTCATGCTTAACACATGTGCTACCCGGACCTTAAAGAGAAAGGGGCATTATGTAAAACTATTTGAGGATTTGAACTATGTATGGCTGGGTGCGCAAAAACATTGTTGGAATAAATTTTATGTGTAAAATGAAAGCTTAAATATTAACAAGAAGCAAAGAAATGAAATTTTGTGTCCATTAAAAATAATGCTAGTTAAAAGATTGATGACTAAATTTTGCAGTCAGTCTGTCTGTTTGTAAGAGCAAGAGATTCCACAACCAAGTGATATGGAGAACAGTGCATTATGAGTACATTGTGTACCGAACAAAGATTGGTAATAAATTATGCCTTAGTTTTGGCAGGCCACATGAGTTTGAAAATATCAGGTGACACCCAGGAATAAATCGACCTGAGAAAAATAAGGAGAGGTTAACTCTTTTTAGCATAAACATTATGATGGTGATTTTTTTATCAGATATTCCTTACGCTATTCAGGTTTGTAGAGGATAAGCATATTCAGCCTGTACCCTACATATCCTAAGCTGATGTTCTGTTTTCTGCTTTCTTCCCTCAGGCTCTGTCTGTTGGCATTTTCCCCTATGTGTTAAAGCTCCTTCAGAGTTCTGCTCGAGAGTTAAGGCCTCTTCTGGTCTTCATCTGGGCCAAAATCCTTGCAGTGGACAGTGTGAGTGACCATAAAATGTTTATTTGATTATGATGCAGAATATTTTAAAAGTTGTGTCTCATTAACTGCAGCACCAGCATGTGATGCAACTTGTTCATGCTTGGGATGAGATGAGAACGAGAGGCTTGCCTAGGATGAATGAATTTGGAACTGTGAGGAAGTTGCCATTTACTTGTAGATTTTTCCAGCAAGCCTCAGACCTGAGTCTATTGGTCCTGTCTATACTTCTTTTTCTTTCCCTCACTTCATAGCCTCATTTACAGTGGCTGCTATTTTCCATCAGTTGATTTTCACAACTTTGTGGATGGCACAAAGGATGGAAAATTATTGTTCTTACGATGAAATGGAGGAAGGATATGAAAATGGGAGAAAGTTTTCCATTTGTGTTGCTGTGAAATCATCAAGTACTGATATTATTTGCAGGAAATTGCTAATCCATTATATTTTTCTAACACAGTATGCAGTATGCTGTGTCTTCTCTGAGATCCTAACCAATGCCATACTCTAAATGAGAGAGTTCAAGAGCTTTATTCTGGGTAATAAATGCATCACGTTTGCTTGATCTGTACTGGAAGTTCTTCCTTGGAGGAGCGTACAGGACATGAGGTCACGTGCAGTGCAGGCTCTTAGCAGTTCATTTTCTTCGGAGTAGCCAGGCACTCTTGCTGATGATGATTAGTTTTATCCTGCTTGTCTGATCCAGTTCCTACCAGACAGCCCTATACATGTAGACAGATCTCTGTGTTCACATACTTGTATCTTTTCCTAAATGTGTATCAGCTTGCACTGTACAAAAAACTGCAGACAGAAATCATTAGCCAGTATAAGTATTAGGACAACAAAAACAGATACTATTTAAAAGCCTGACATTTTGAATGTTGGTGTTGACTGAGTATTTTTATTGCCTTTTCTGATTAATCGTTTTAAGCACAAGCAGGAAGAGGGAGACATGATCAGCCAGTGACATCCTTTCCTGCTGATCTAGAATTATGTTCAGTGTTATTAAATATATTTTGGATAATGTTTTAAGAGGATTTTGTACAGCAAAGAAAATGAAAAGTAATCTTCAAGCTGTTCTGGGGGAAAATGCTTCTTTTTGATGCATGTTCTTGTTTGACTGGAAATTCAAGCCTCCATGTATAATTCAAAGAAAGTATATATTCATTGAATCTGACATGCAGCTCTGTGGAAGCACACATGTCTGTGAAATTGTTGCTGGTGATATAAGACATACTCTGATCTTTCAAAATAAAGCTGATGTGGGTTTCCAGCCTAGGCTGCTGAATTGCAATGCTTCAGAGTGTCAGAGATGTAAATCCTTTACAGTTTACACCTCATTTGTGCATTGACCGGGTTTATATGATCAGGGAAAGAAAATAAGCCATGGCTGTTTTGTTTTGTTTTTTCATCTTGTCAGTGGTGGTCACATGTCACCAAATTACCATAATTCTCTTCCCTAGACACAGCTTCTGATATTGTCTGAAGTTTACAAACTACCCCACAACCCTACAGCAACCCATGGGTTCCAGGCTTGTTGTAAACCCACCTGCTACCCACCCCTACCAGGTTCAGACAGTACAATAAGCCATGTCTAGCAAGCATAATTATGGCACTTTGTAGAATGCACAGAGCAGAAAAATAAGCCATGGCTTATAAGCCCCAGTCATGAAAACCCACTTACTATCACACTGTTTAATAATATCAATATATTAATAAGTTGTATTAATAGTAAAATTATGTTGTCTATGATCCAGCATTCAGCAACAGTTTGTAGAAAGGAAGCCTCCCACATGCTATTCTCTCCACTGGGTGTGTGTGTGTGTGTGTGTGTGTGTGGTGGGGGGCGGGGAGAGAGAAAACTATATATAAGCATTCTTCTTCAAGTCTCTGTGCATCACACACAAATGGGGTTTGCCGTGGAGCACAAGGCCTGGATTGGAGAAAAACTTCCACAGCTCAGTGTCATGGAGTAGACAGGAGCCCAGTCCCACTCCCATCCAGGACAGGATAAGAGGCGGGGGCTCCCACCCAGTCTCCCAGTTTTTCTTTGAATGTGTTTGAGTCTCTTTGCTGATCAGACCTTCCACTCCCTTACCTGCTCGCCATTTTTCCTCTTTTACTTCCCTCTTCTACCTACTGAACTCTAGCTGAGATCAGTACAGCTTTTCTCTCTCCTCACCTCCTCTCACACTCGAAGAACTTAGCCTCCTGCTTTCTCTCCTGCACCAACATGTGTCCCCTCTACTCCACATGGCCAACTCGGCTTCTCACTGCTGCTTCTCCTGCGCAGCCCGGCTACCCACTGCGGATGGCCACTCCAGGTGCCTCCTCTGCCTCGGCAAGGGGCAGGCTGTATAGACTTGCCCCCATTGCCAAGTATTTAAAAAGCAACACAGAGGCAGAGCTCCACCTTGATCCAACAAGCACTCTGGCAAAGAGCCCTCCACACCATGGACCCGTCAGAGACCAAAAAACCTCCCTCCGAGGAAGCATCACCCTCAACAAAGAGGACCCCAAGGGAGAGACCTGCTTCATCGGGAGAGGGGTCTTTGGGCACAGTGGTAGCTGCAAAGAACATTGTGCTGCCAAGGATCTCCCCCGACTCCAGGGTCCCTTCTGGAACCCCCCCAAAACACCAGCCCCGGGGGTTCCCCTGATGACACCCCCTGGTCCCAGGCCCAGACTCCCCAGAGGCACATGGACCACCTGTGGCCAGGAGCCAGCCACCCATGCCCAAAACTGTGCCAGCACACGGCCCACTGCCCATGCTGGCTACAGAAGCTGAGTACCATGCCTCTCCCCTTCAAGGGATCTGCTGCCTTGCTCATTGCCTGCGGACACCACCCCATCATCCAGGGACTGCCCAGACCACTCCTCCTCACCTCTGCCAGACTTGGGAGAATCCTCCTTGTGGTCTCCAGCCTCCTCCTCCTCCGGTGCGCTGCTTGCCTGAAGCCGAAGAGTCCAGCTGACTCTGACTTCTTGGAGCCCTGCACCACACCCTGGGCCCACCACAGGCTCCCTGCCTCCCACTGTTCAGCCACCTTGACCACCACGAGGAACAGAGCCCTATCTCCTCTGAAAGCTCAGTGCTCTCTGAGGACTAATGCCACCGCCACTCTCTGTCTCCTATGGCCTCCTGCAGGTCGCATGTGCAAGACTGCAGCCACCAATAAGATCATGCTGAGACCATGTGGCGCACTGAGAATGCAGGCCGCAGACACGGGCCCTACTGCAGCATTGCTGCTCCACAGCGGTTGAGTCATCTTCCTCACACTGCCACCATGCCTCTCCCAGTCAGGTGGGCAGCCATGATGCCAGCCCAATGAGGACTCCACCTCCAGGCAATTACCTGGAGCAACGTACAACAGGTCCACTCACCAGTGCCATCACTCCCACAGCCCTGCTCCATCCCATTCCTACCACTCACTGGCTCCATGAGACCTTCCAAGCCAGAGCCGCTCTTCATTACAGATCTCAGGTCAGAGCTGTTCCCCCGATTCAGCGCACACTCCTTCCTCAGCCTCTGTTCACTCCCAGGATGGGCAGGCCCTGGATCACGACCCCTCCTTGTCTCCTGGAAAGGTGTGGGGTAGCTTTTCTGACTTTATCCTCTCCGTGGCAGAGGAACTGGGCATTCAGACATCCCACCCACCTGAGGCTGACCTAGTCTATGATGCCCTGGCCCCTAGGGGTACTGCCCCAGTCTCCATCCCTGCACTGCTTGCGCTGTTCTGCATAGCCCAGCAGTCCTGGAAAGTCCCTGCAGGCTGCCTGGCCACCTCACACAGGACTGACTCTGCTTACAAGGTGACCATCAAAGCATTTTCTCTTCTCCTCCAGCACCCCAAACCCAACTCCACCATAGTGGAGTTGATGTAGGGAATCCCTCAGTGGGGCCCGTCCACTCAAGGAGATCCACTACCTAGATCGCAAGGCCAAGAAGGTCTATGCAGCTGCCTCCCTAGCCTTCAGGGTCTCCAACTACGAGGCCACTATGGCTACTTACCAGCTTTTCCTTTGGGAAAAAATGGGAGCTATGGTAGAACTCCTGCCTGTCCACCTCCGTGAGGCTGCCCACCTAATACACACTGAAGCGCATAACCTCTCCTGGTTTCAGCTCAAGGCAGCTCGACACTATGTTGACTGTAACAGCAAGACCATGATGGGCACCATCACTCAATGTCGTCACATGTGCTTACATTCCACTTCCCTTCCCAGTGAGACATGGGCCCACATTGAAGACTTGCCCTTTGATGGGGAAGGACTCTTTAATGCCCACACTGACCATGGATTCTCTTCATAAGGCGCAAACCACTGCCAAGCATATGGGTTTTGTGCAAGGCACTCAACAAAGAAAGGGACAGGAAACCCCAGAGGCCCCCACCCACCGCTTTTTCCCTGATTGTGCCCCATGCCCCAGGATCCCACCCATCAACAAGAGGCATGGCCCCCAACTCCACCAGTAACTAGGATGCCAGGTGCAGGCGCTGATGCTCTGTTCCAGTCAGCCCCACCCCGCACCTTCCCACAACTTCACATTCCATCTGGCTCAGTTCCTCACAGCATGGGAGGACATCACATCAGACTCCTGGTTCTCTCTATCATCCAGTGGGGATACAGGATAGAGTGTGACATCCTACCGCCCCTCAGCTGCATTAAAGCCACATTGTCCTCTCCACCCTAATGGTGGAAGTCCAGGCTCCCCTGGCCAATAGGGGCAAAGTGCATGGCGGCAAACTGCACTTACCTTAGGCTCCAGGGTGTCCAGATATTCCCCTACCTGGATGACTGGCTCCTAGCAGCCCCCTCCAGGGAGGACCTCCTGCATGGGCTGCACATCACATGCTGCCTCCTACAGGACTGGAGACTCCTCATCAACACTGACAAATCTGTTCTGTCTCCCACACAGTCTGTCTTCTTCATCGGGGTTCACTTGGACTCTACCCGTGCCAAGGCCTTCCTCCCACAACCACAGCAGAGACCCTTGTTTTGCTGAC